GTATTTTATGTCATTATCATGTCCGCCCTATTCCTCCTGTCCTCCACTGTCATCAGGTTGATTTCCCTTAACCTCTCCTCGTAGGACATAACCCCTTAGCACTGGGACTAGTCGTGTTGCAAACCTTTGCACTTTCTCCAATCTCTTGACCTGCCTGACCAGGTGTGGGTTCTATACTGGTGCGGCATACTCCAATATGGGCCTGACCCACGTGGAATACAGTGTCTTGAATGACTCCTTACTCAGGTGTCGAAACGCTATTCTTAGGTTTGCCAGGCGCCCATATGCTGCAGCAGTTATTTGGTTGATGTGCGCCACAGATATGCTCGGAATGATACTCACCCCAAGATCCTTTCCCTTTTACCCACTAGCCTGTATACCGTCTGCGGTATTCCTTGATCTGGACAGGCTTGCAGCCTGTCCAGATCCCTTTGTGGATCTACCTGTTCCTCATCCGCTTGAATTCTCCGCATTAAGTATTAACTTCACATCGTCTGCAAACAGGGACACCTCTGAATGTATCCCTTCTGTCATGTCATTCACATTCACAGAATGGGCCCTAGGACTGACCCTTGTGGAACCCTGCTCGTCACAGGCGCCCACTCTTACACCTCGTCACGTACCATCGCTCGTTGTTTCCATTCTGTCAGGTACTATCCGATCCATTTCAGTGTTATGCCTGCCTGCTCTAGCTTTTGCACTAATCTCTTGTGTGGAACTCTGTCAAAAGCCTTCTTTCAGTCCAAGAATATATAGTCTACTCACCTCTCTCTCTCTCTCTCTCTCTCTCTCTCTCTCTCTCTCTCTCTCTCTCTCTCTCTCTCTCTCTCTCTCTCTCTCTCTCTCTCTCTCTCTCTCTCTCTCTCTCTAATACCTTACTTCTATCACCTTGTCATAAAATTTGAGTAGGTTTGTGACCCAGGATTTCCCTTCCCTGAAACCATGCTGGTTGTCGTGTATAAGCTCATTCCTTGCTAGGTGATTCACCGCTCTTCTCCTGATAAGCTTCTCCATGACTTTGCACACATGTCAGTGATACTGGTCTGTAGTTTAGTGCTGCTTGTCTGTCTCCTTTCTTAAAAATTGGGATTGCATTTGCGGTTTTCCACACACAGTGCCTCTGCTCCCTCTCTTAGGACCCATGGAGAGATGACCGGTCCCACTGACTTTGAGGTATCTAGTTCACTTAGCAGTCTCTTCGCTTTCTCTTCGGCTGTGTGTAATGCGTCCAGCACTTGTTAGTGCATTCTACCACTCCAGGTTGCCGGAGTCCCTTCCGTCTCCACTGAAAATACTTCCTTAAATCTCGTGTTGAGCTCTTCACATACTTCTTGGTCATTTCTTGTGATCTCACATCCTTCCTTCTTTGGCCTGATTACCTGATACTTGAATTGTTTTCCTCCTGATGTGGCTGTACAACAGCTTTGGGTCAGATTTGGCCTTCGATGCTATGCCATTCTTGTATTGCTGCCGAGCCTCCCTTCTTGTACATGCATATTTCTTTCTGACTCTTTGACTAATCTCCTTATTTTTCTGGGTCCTTTGTCTTCTGTACTTTTTTCATATTCTAGCACACTTAGTGTTGGCCTCTCTACACCTTTGGGTGAACTATGGGCTCATTCTGGTCTTCCCATTGTTTCTGTTGCCCTTGGGTACACACCTCTCCTTCTCCTCCTCCTTGCATTTTGTGATCATGTATTCCATAATTTCATTTACTGTTTTTCCAATCAGTTCTTTCCCACTGTACCTCATAAAGGGATTTCCTCATGTTTGTGCAGTCCGCTCTATTATAGTTTAGCTTCTCCCATCTTGTGCTGCTTCCCTCTCCCCTTTTAGCTCTACAATGTATTTGAAGTTTAGGACCACATGATCATTAGCTCCAAAAGGCCTTTCATATGTGATGTCCCCAATGTTTGAACTACTTAAGGTGAATATGAGGTCCAGGCTTGCTGGTTCATCATCTCCTCTCTCTATGGTAGTGTCTCTAACATGTTGATGCATGAGGTTTTTCCAGTACCACCTCTACATTTCTGATCCTGAATGTGGCTCCAGGTTTTCCCAGTCAGTCTCCTTATAATTGAAATTACCCACAACTAGTGACTTTGCCCTGCCCATGTGGGCTGTTGTGGCAACCTCAAATAGCGTATCAACCATTGCTCTATTGCTCTCATCATAATCTTGTTTTGGCCTCCTGCTGTTCAGTGACAGGTTGTACATCCCTGCAATCACCACTTTGGGACTCCCTGTCTGAAGTGTTCTTACTATATAGTCCCGTGTTTCCCTTTTTTCCTCGTGATCTGATATCCGGTTGGAAAGATTGTGATGTAGTTCAGCTGGGCTTGTGAGGTCTCTGGGGAGACCTAATTTAACCAATTATATGGTCACACCTTGCCTTGGCAAACGTCTGTAGCCACGCCCACGTCTGAGGTCTTTTGTTCTGGACGGCGTCAGACCTAGGCGTCAGGTCTTACACGTGGTTGTGGAGGGTGCTTGGACCACCATAAAAGCCCAAGGAAGAGCATGATCAGGAGATTCGAGCGGAGCTGCTGCTGGGGTGCAGAGCTCCTGAGCAGAGACTTCGAGCGGAGCTGCTGCTGGGGTGCAGGGCTCGGGAGAAGGCTGCTGAAGTCTCTGGAGGAGACTGTTGGAGGCATTGGGCAGAGTACTGGCTTGGCGCAGTACTCGTGCTGTATAGGTCTTGGGACCTGTGGCTTAGTTCCTGTAGTGAACTGTCCTCTGTGCTATATTGTAAGTTATATTCATTTTCGTCAAATTGATTGTATTTCCCTGTCTCACTGCTTATGTGTAACACCCCATTTATCTAAACCAATGATGTACTCTTGTTCCCAAATATATTAGTGTACAAGGACTTAATAATAAACTGTGTTTGAGTAGAATAGTAATATTCACTGTCCCCGTTATTAGCTATTCCTATTTCTTATATTTTATTATGTTTATATATGAGTGAAGAGTGGGCGAGGCATATGTTAGTGAGTAGTGTAGAGTTAATGAGAGTGTCGTGGTGGTCACCACTGACCTGTCATTACCTACCTACCTCTGCTAATCATCTCACTCCTACCACCTCGCCTGCCTCTCCCCCTGCCTACATAATCCCCTACTCCCATATTCCCCACTTATATCCTATTCATTCCGATACCCCCTACATGACAAGATCACATCTGTTATCATTTATGAGCTTGATTTACATGAGTGCTGTGATGTCTGGGGATGCTTCCATGATTCTTTTGTACCACTCCTCACACTTATTTCTTATTCTGTCTGCGGTGGTGTAACATACATAAGAACATAAGAAAGAAGGAACGCTGAAGCAGGCCTACTGGCCTGGTTATGGGGGCTGGGAGAATGGGAGACCTGGCAGGACACTATGGGAGGCTGCTGTGTAAGTACAGTTTCTGCTGGGATGGGGTCCGTAAGTGTGGAGGGTGGTTTGTTTTTAGTTAATTTGTTTGGTTGTGGTGTTCTATAGGTGGTTCTACTGGTAGTAGTGTTTGCTGATCCTTCCAACTCTGGGTGTCCCTGCCTCTCTCTGACCTTGTCTCCCTTTCTTGCCCCTTGCATCTTTGTTTCCCCCCCCCTCTCTCTCTCTCAGGTGCTGTCATTCTGTTCATGTTCTGTTGCAGTCAGGGTACAACTGCTTATATTTTGTTGTTTCCTTTAGCTGTAGGTTTTGCTGCAGGATTCTGTTTCACACTGTTTCTGTCCTTAAAATCAATTTGACTGGTTGATTTTTTCCCCTTGAGTATCCCCTGATTCTCTGAAAATTTATCAGCTCAGTCGTGTCCTCTCCTGTTCGATAAGATAAGATAAGATTTCGTTCGGATTTTTAACCCCGGAGGGTTAGCCACCCAGGATAACCCAAGAAAGTCAGTGTGTCATCGAGGACTGTCTAACTTATTTCCATTGGGGTCCTTAATCTTGTCCCCCAGGATACGACCCACACCAGTCGACTAACACCCAGGTACCTATTTGCTGCTAGGTGAACAGGACAACATGTGTAAGGAAACGTGTCGAAATGTTTCCACCCGCCGGGAATCGAACCCGGACCCTCCGTGTGTGAAGCGGGAGCTTTAGCCACCTGTCATCTTCATATACCCTCCCTTTGGCCTCCTGAAGCCCATGGATAAAAACTGATCTCTTCCTCTCATCTCACTGCTTTTCCCTCCACATCTCTGGGTATATGTGTGTATACTTACAATTTTCTACATTTTTCACTTTTCATACATGCAAAGCTGCTATTGTGAATCCTGCAAGCATACCTGGCATACATATATTTTTGGAAGCCTGTGTATAAATAACGTCATGATGATTAAGAAACGTGGAGAAATAGTTGGAGGTGGTTAGTCTCTCAGTCTGGATAAGAGTTTAACTCCATGGTCTGGAACAATATGAAGCAGAAGCATGAGAATGGGATCTTAAATACTGTCAGAGGTGAGGTGGAATATCTCAGAGACGTTGGGGATGGGGTTCACTAATAGAAGCAAGAAGGCAAGAATTGAGGATCACTGCAGCAAACCTACTGGCCCATGCTAGGAAGGTTCCTCTGAAATCTATCCTTTCTCACTTAAGCGATGAGTACGGGTCGTCCCATGAAGACTTGGATGAAGGGGATAAAGGAGGGTTAAGGCACTAGGGGCCTAAACTTTTAGCAGGCTTATGCGAGTGTCTTGGATTGGAATGGAAACTAGGGAGTTTTTGTGGTTTAGTGTGCTGTTGGAATGTGAGCAAGGTAAGATTTAAGTAGAGAATCAGGGAAACAGATTAGCCAGACTTAGAAACCCTTACCCTGATGGGAGATGGCCTGTGTGTAAAATATTTTGTAAATCTCATATGATCTTTCTTGCCTTTCGTAATACTTATATTAACAACAGGTGATTTGTTATGGGTTTATTTTTGTAACCCTGGACCTGTGATTACCCACCCCCACCCACACCCTTTCCCCGTGACCTTGCAAGTCTTCACCTAATGTGAGGTCACCTCACCTTTGATAAGGACAGTGTGGTTCTTCAGCATCTTGGCCACCTCCTCCAGCAACGTCTCCTGCAGCTCTGTACAAGTTATAAGACAGATGTTAGTGTCTTCTTAACAGCTTGGAGCTTTCCTTAAAGGTTTGATAGTTTTTTAAATTAATTAACTGAGCCATACACTAGTAGTATTGGTTAATTAATAAGAATGAACCACATTTAAAAGTAGGAAACAGCGTATAGGTTGAGAGGCGTGTGACTAATATCAACTTAGATCAAAATGAAACATTTTAAGCACCATAAAATGATGTATATATATATCTATCTATCTATATATATACATGTATATATATATATATATATATATATATATATATATATATATATATATATATATATATATATATATATATATATATATATATATATATATATATATATATATATATATATATATATATATATATATATATATATATATATATATATATATATTTATATAACATCTTGTAGGTGTGAGGAAGAGCCAGTTGTAAGTGTGGGGAAAGTTCGTGAGGCAGTAGGTAAAATGAAAGGGGGTAAGGCAGCCGGGATTGATGGGATAAAGATAGAAATGTTAAAAGCAGGTGGGGATATAGTTTTGGAGTGGTTGGTGCTATTATTTAATAAATGTATGGAAGAGGGTAAGGTACCTAGGGATTGGCAGAGAGCATGCATAGATCCTTTGTATAAAGGGAAAGGGGACAAAAGAGAGTGCAAAAATTATAGGGGGATAAGTCTGTTGAGTATACCTGGTAAAGTGTATGGTAGAGTTATTATTGAAAGAATTAAGAGTAAGACGGAGAATAGGATAGCAGATGAACAAGGAGGTTTTAGGAACGGTAGGGGGTGTGTGGACCAGGTGTTTACAGTGAAACATATAAGTGAACAGTATTTAGATAAGGCTAAAGAGGTTTTTGTGGCATTTATGGGTTTGGAAAAGGCGTATGACAGGGTGGATAGGGAGGCAATGTGGCAGATGTTGCAGATGTATGGTGTAGGAAGTAGGTTACTGAAAGCAGTGAAGAGTTTTTACGAGGATAGTGAGGCTCAAGTTAGAGTATGTAGGAAAGAGGGAGATTATTTCCCAGTAAAAGTAGGCCTTAGACAAGGATGTGTGATGTCACCGTGGTTGTTTAATATATTTATAGATGGGGTTGTAAGAGAAGTAAATGCGAGGGTCTTGGCAAGAGGCGTGGAGTTAAAAGATAAAGAATCACACATAAAGTGGGAGTTGTCACAGTTGCTCTTTGCTGATGACACTGTGCTCTTGGGAGATTCTGAAGAGAAGTTGCAGAGGTTGGTGGATGAATTTGGTAGCGCATGTAAAAGAAGAAAATTAAAAGTGAATACAGGAAAGAGTAAGGTTATGAGGATAACAAAAAGATTAGGTGATAAAAGATTGGATATCAGATTGGAGGGAGAGAGTATGGAGGAGGTGAATGTATTCAGATATTTGGGAGTGGACGTGTCAGCGGATGGGTCTATGAAAGGTGAGGTGAATCATAGAATTGATGAGGGAAAAAGGGTGAGCGGTGCACTTAGGAGTCTGTGGAGACAAAGAACTTTGTCCTTGGAGGCAAAGAGGTAAATGTATGAGAGTATAGTTTTACCAACGCTCTTATATGGGTGTGAAGCATGGGTGATGAATGTTGCAGCAAGGAGAAGACTGGAGGCAGTGGGGATGTCATGTCTGAGGGCAATGTGTGGTGTGAATATAATGCAGAGAATTCGTAGTTTGGAAGTTAGGAGAAGGTGCGGGATTGCCAAAACTGTTGTCAAGGGGGCTGAGGAAGGGTTGTTGAGGTGGTTCGGATATGTAGAGAGAATGGAGCGAAACAGAATGACTTCAAGAGTGTATCAGTCTGTAGTGGAAGGAAGGCGGGGTAGGGGTCGGCCTAGGAAAGGTTGGAGTTAGGGGTTAAAGGAGGTTTTGTGTGCGAGGGGCTTGGACTTCCAGCGGGCATGCGTGAGCGTGTTTGATAGGAGTGAATGGAGACAAATGGTTTTTAATACTTGACGTGCTGTTGGAGTGTGAACAAAGTAACATTTATGAAGGGATTCAGGGAAACCGGCAGGCTGGGCTTGAGTCCTGGAGATGGGAAGTACAGTGCCTGCACTCTGAAGGAGGGGTGTTAATGTTGCAGTTTAAAAACTGTAGTGTAAAGCACCCTTCTGGCAAGACAGTGATGGAGTGAATGATGGTGAAGGTTTTTCTTTTTCGGGCCACCCTGCCTTGGTGGGAATCGGCCAGTGTGCCAGAGATCAGTGTTTGTGTATATTTCGCCTGCTCTCGCGAATTTCTTGCATATATATATATATATATATATATATATATATATATATATATATATATATATATATATATATATATATATATATATATATATATATATATATATATATATATTATATATATATTATTGTATCCACGAACAAGTGGTATTGATCAGTAGCATCACTGCGATTAGTCAAGGAGTCAAACCCTTGCTGTTTTGGCCTGCCGCATTTTGGGCGAAAACTCATGATGCCTTAATCCACGGAACCACATAATCCTTAAGACTAGCGCACCCAGCAGAATTGGATGTTTTGTGTGTGTGTGTATATATATATATATATATATATATATATATATATATATATATATATATATATATATATATATTATATATATATATATATATATATATATATATATATATATATATATATATATATATATATATATATATATATATATATATATATATATATATATATATATATATATATATATTTATTAACACACTGGCCGAATCCCACCAAGGCAGGGTGGCCCAGAAAAGAAAAACTTTCACCATCATTCACTCCATCACTGTTTTGCCAGAAGGGTGCTTTACACTACAGTTTTTAAACTGCAACATTAACACCCCTCCTTCAGAGTGCAGGCACTGTACTTCCCATCTCCAGGACTCAAGTCCGGCCTGCCGGTTTCCCTGAATCCCTTCATAAATGTTACTTTGCTCAAACTCCAACAGCACGTCAAGTATTAAAAAATATTTGTCTCCATTCACTCCTATCAAACACGCTCACGCATGCCGCCTGGAAGTCCAAGCCCCTCGCACACAAAGCCTCCTTTACCCCCTACCTCCAACCTTTCCTAGGCCGACCCCTACCCCGCCTTCCTTCCACTACAGACTGATACACTCTTGAAGTCATTCTGTTTCGCTCCATTCTCTCTACATGTCCGAACCACCTCAACAACCCTTCCTCAGCCCTCTGGACAACAGTTTTGGTAATCCCGCACCTCCTCCTAACTTCCAAACTACGAATTCTGTGCATTATATTCACACCACACATTGCCCTCAGACATGACATCTCCACTGCCTCCAGCCTTCTCCTCGCTGCAACATTCATCACCCATGCTTCACACCCATATAAGAGCGTTGGCAAAACTATACTCTCATACATTCCCCTCTGCCTCCAAGGACAAAGTTCTTTGTCTCCACAGACTCCTAATTGCACCGCTCACCCTTTTCCCCTCATCAATTCTATGATTCACCTCATCTTTCATAGACCCATCCGCTGACACGTCCACTCCCAAATATCTGAATACATTCACCTCCTCCATACTCTCTCCCTCCAATCTGATATTCAATCTTTCATCACCTAATCTTTTTGTTATCCTCATAACCTTACTCTTTCCTGTATTCACTTTTAATTTTCTTTTACATACCCTACCAAATTCATCCACCAACCTCCGCAACTTCTCTTCAGAATCTCCCAAGAGCACAGTGTCATCAGCAGAGAGCAACTGTGACAACTCACACTTTATGTGTGATTCTTTATCTTTTAACTCCACGCCTCTTGCCAAAATGATTCTTTATCTTTTAACTCCACGCCTCTTGCCAAGACCCTCGCATTTACTTCTCTTACAACCCCATCCATAAATATATTAAACAACCATGGTGACATCACACATCCTTGTCTAAGGCCTACTTTTACTGGGAAATAATCTCCCTCTTTCCTACATACTCTAACTTGAGCCTCACTATCCTCGTAAAAACTCTTCACTGCTTTCAGTAACCTACCTCCTACACCATACACCTGCAACATCTGCCACATTGCCCCCCTATCCACCCTGACATACGCCTTTTCCAAATCCATAAATGCCAATATATATATATATATATATATATATATATATATATATATATATATATATATATATATATATCAATAACAAGACTGCACTAGCCAAGGACTCGAACCCATGCTGCTTTGGCGTGCCTCATAGTGGCCGAGAACACATGACGCCCTTATCGTATGGTTCAGTGGATAAGGGCGTCATGTGTTTTCACCCACCATGAGGCAGGCCAAAGCAGCATGGGTTCAAGTCCTTGGCTAGTGCAGTGTTGTTATTGATCAATACCACTCGTTCGTGGCCACAATAATATATATATATATATATATATATATATATATATATATATATATATATATATATATATATATATATATATATATATATATTATTGAGAGACAAAAGTGCAACACTTCCTCTCACCATGGCAGCCACGTGACCACTGAGGAGTCACTGCGGAGTGTGGTAGCAGGCCGTGATGCCATGCTAACAGATGCTACCCGGCATAATGCACTGACGAAAAAAGACCCCCCTGTATGATAGGCCTTTGATTTTTGTCACAACATTATGCCAGGGCGCTCACCCGGCATAATGCATAATGCACTGTAGGTGTCGGCCAGCGTCGACATGCAGGTGTAGTCCTATGCTAAGAACTTGCCATTCTTCCAAGTATAGATGGTGATCCTGTCGGCGCAGATTGCAGGGTTGTTAGTATTGTTGGCCGCTAGTGATCAGGACTCTCTCTCCACTGTAGCAAGGCTTCTTTGTATGATGTCATTGACTTCATTGCATGCCAGCCCTTGGTTATGGAGCAGTTAAGGTCATGTAGACCATATTGTTTGGCTTGTGCAATGCCGCAAATACATTCCACGTGAATTGGGAGAAGGAGGCGGAGAGTCACTGCAATATGGAGGGTCTTAGGGTTGAGGCGTGTTCCCATTGCCAAAATGGAAACTGTTTGGAGGGACTCCCCTGGGTGAAGGGCACTCACAGCTTGGAGATTGGCACTCTCCCTGTCTGATGTTACAGTCCCTAGCATGTTGGCAAGCACCTTTTCAGCAATGGGGCCATTTCAAATTGACTGTTTGTAGGCCAGTGCTGCACTACGTTTTGTTGATGGAGCAGCGAGAGTCTCCCATTTGGTAATGGTAATGGCATAGCTAGGGGTCCTGTATTCCTGATATATATATATATATATATATATATATATAATATATATATATATATAATGTGTGTATGTGTGTGTATGTGTGTGTATGTGTGTGTATGTGTGTGTGTGTGTGTGTGTGTGTGTGTGTGTGTGTGTGTGTGTGTGTATGTGTGTGTATGTGTGTGTGTGAGTGTGTGTGTGTGTGTGTGTGTGTGTGTGTGTGTGTGTGTGTGTGTGTGTGTGTGTGTGTGTGTGTGTGTGTGTGTGTGTGTGTGTGTGTGTCATTATAAAATGTCTCCAGCTAAACCGAGTATGTCCGCGTTTTTCGATATTCGCCAGTGTTGAATTTGAGTTATTCTTGTTGTATTATTTTTGTAATTCATCAACATACCTTATAAGACACTAATAAAACAAATCCTGGAAGTGTTCCCTGGGAATAACTTGGCAAGTAATAAATATACTGAATGAAAAGAAACCGGTGAAGTTAGTTATTAGAGTACCTTGTATGGTGGTGGTGTGGGAGTCACTGAGGTCTTGGTGCTGCTGACGGAGGGTAGCCACCTCCACGCTGGAGTTACTGAAGCCTTCCAGCACTCGATCCTGCACTCCAGATGACAACTCTGTAGGTGAAACTCTCATCGTGTGAACTCAGTTTAGGTTATTTGTTACACGTTTGTACATGTACCTGGCTGTACCATCGTCCTGGCTGTACCATGTACCTGGCTGTACCATCGTCCTGGCTGTACCATGTACCTGGCTGTACCATCTACCTCGCTGTACCATGTACCTGGCTGTACCATCTACCTCGCTGTACCATTTACCTGGCTGTACCATCTACCTCGCTGTACCATGTACCTGGCTGTACCATCTACCTGGCTGTACCATTTACCTGGCTGTACCATTTACCTGGCTGTATCATCTACCTGGCTGTACCATCTGCCTGGCTGTACCATCTGCCTGGCTGTACCATCTACCTGGCTGTACCATCTGCCTGGCTGTACCATCTACCTGGCTGTACTATCTACCTGGCTGTACCATGTACCTGGCTGTATCATCTACCTGGCTGTACCATTTACCTGACTGTACCCTCTGCCTGGCTGTACCATCTACCTGGCTGTACCATCTGCCTGGATGTACCATCTGCCTGGCTGTACCATCTACCTGGCTGTATCCTCTGCCTGGCTGTACCATCTACCTGGCTGTACGACCTACCTGGCTGTACCATCTACCTGGCTGTACCATCTACCTGGCTGTACCATATACATGACTGTACCATCTACCTGACTGTACCATCTACGTGGCTGTACCATCTGCCTGGCTGTACCATCTACCTGGCTGTACCATCTGCCTGGCTGTACCGTCTACCTGGCTGTACCATCTACCTGGCTGTACCATCTGCCTGGCTGTACCATCTACCTGGCTGTACCCTCTGCCTGGCTGTATCCTCTACCTTACTGTACCATCTACCTGGCGGCCGGGCCACCACTTGGACAAGGCCCGGGCCGGGAGAATACCGGCGAATCTTTAACTAACTAATCTACCTGGCTGTACCATCTATCTGGTTGTACCATCTACCTGGTTGTACCATCTACCTGGTTGTACCATCTACCTGGCTGTACCATCTGCCTGGCTGTACCATCTACCTGGCTGTACCCCCTGCCTGGCTGTACCATCTACCTGACTGTACCATCTACCTGGCTGTACCATCTACCTGGTTGTACCATCTACCTGGCTGTACCATCTACCTGGTTGTACCATCTACCTGGCTGTACCATCTACCTGGTTGTACCATATACCTGGCTGTACCATCTACCTGGTTGTACCATCTACCTGGTTGTACCATCTGCCTGACTGTACCATCTGCCTGACTGTACCATCTACCTGACTGTACCATCTACCTGACTGTACCATCTACCTGACTGTACCATCTACCTGACTGTACCATCTACCTGACTGTACCATCTACCTGGTTGTACCATATACCTGGTTGTACCATCTAATTGGCTGTACCATCTACCTGGCTGTACCATCTACCTGGTTGTACCATCTACCCGGTTGTACCATCTGCCTGACTGTACCATCTACCTGACTGTACCATCTACCTGACTGTACCATCTACCTGACTGTACCATCTACCTGACTGTACCATCTACCTGACTGTACCATCTACCTGGCTGTACCATCTACCTGGTTGTACCATCTACCTGGCTGTACCATCTACCTGGTTGTACCATATACCTGGCTGTACCATCTACCTGGTTGTACCATCTACCTGGTTGTACCATCTGCCTGACTGTACCATCTACCTGGCTGTACCATCTACCTGGCTGTACCATCTACCTGGTCGTACCATCTACCCGGTTGTACCATCTGCCTGACTGTACCATCTACCTGACTGTACCATCTACCTGACTGTACCATCTACCTGACTGTACCATCTAGCTGACTGTACCATCTAGCTGACTGTACCATCTACCTGACTGTACCATCTACCTGACTGTACCATCTAGCTGACTGTACCATCTACCTGACTGTACCATCTACCTGACTGTACCATCTACCTGACTGTACCATCTACCTGACTGTACCATCTACCTGACTGTACCATCTACCTGACTGTACCATCTACCTGACTGTACCATCTAGCTGACTGTACCATCTAGCTGACTGTACCATCTACCTGACTGTACCATCTAGCTGACTGTACCATCTACCTGACTGTACCATCTACCTGACTGTACCATCTAGCTGACTGTACCATCTACCTGACTGTACCATCTACCTGACTGTACCATCTACCTGACTGTACCATCTACCTGACTGTACCATCTACCTGACTGTACCATCTACCTGACTGTACCATCTAGCTGACTGTACCATCTACCTGACTGTACCATCTAGCTGACTGTACCATCTACCTGACTGTACCATCTACCTGACTGTACCATCTACCTGTACCATCTACCTGACTGTACCATCTACCTGACTGTACCATCTACCTGACTGTACCATCTACCTGACTGTACCATCTACCTGACTGTACCATCTACCTGACTGTACCATCTACCTGACTGTACCATCTAGCTGACTGTACCATCTACCTGACTGTACCATCTACCTGACTGTACCATCTACCTGACTGTACCATCTACCTGACTGTACCATCTACCTGACTGTACCATCTACCTGGTTGTACCATCTACCTGACTGTACCATCTGCGTCTACCTTATTATTTAGTTTTGCTTCCACTGTTTTATTTGTATTACTCTAATTACTTCTTAAGAAAAGTTTTCCCAGCGTATGCTTAGGAAATCATTTCCAGAAAGTCCTACACAGACGATGAAACAGATACCAATGTTAAAGTATTGATCCCAGGACCGAAACGTTAGCAGTCAACATATCATAAGTATCATTTTGTTTTATAAAGAGGAAGTGAATCTGAAAGATATTTATTTCTCTGTTGATCCTCACGCAACTCACGTAGCTGTTTCTTCTGATACTCACAGATATTTATCTCATTACTTAATTATTCTTAGACTTGCGTCTCTCCTTTCCATCGAAAGAGCTTACAGGTATTATTATTATTATTATTATTATTATTATTATTATTATTATTATTATTATTATTATTATTATTATTATTATTATTATTATTAACCTTCAGCTCTCTTTTTATTAATATGGACTGGAAAGTGGGGAGTACAGCCGTATTGCCTGTTATCCACAGTAAACAAAGAACCCGTGTGATAAGCTCACCTGTGACAAGGTAAGTGTGGTTCTTGAAGAGTTGGGTCGTCTCCTCCTTCAGTGTCTCCAGCAGATCTACAGGAGATGCCAACAGGTGTGTAAATAGACCATTACCGATGGTTTTTTTTTAGGTTTAAAATATATTTTTTTTACCCTATGGTCATTAATTCAGCGGTCCTTGTGGACACTGATATGAAGATTACTGTAATTTTGATGACAGTAATTGAAATATGCTCAATATACTGCTCAGTATATATGCATATATTATGTTTATATAATGGGCTTACGAATCTGATTTACTCACGTTTATTTCATAATATAACCCTGAAAATAGATTTATACAATTATTGTTTATAAGAGCCAGTCTTAAACAAATTCAATTAGTACGAAACTCATAGCAAACATGTCGAGTTATGACAAACTGCGTTGGTCACCTCGCTGAAAGAAAGACAGGAGTCAGGTACCTCTGAATCCAAATGCCCCGCTGACGACTGTAGTGCAGAGTGGACACGTTTGCTGAAAGATCTTGTATTGGGGCAAAGTTTCTGCCTATTAAGATCTTTATCAAGATCTTAACAGATCGATACTTTGTCCCTCCCCACACACACACACAAAAGAAAAAAAAAGTTTTATGCAAACGTGCTTTTCTTCATCATTAATTAAGTACTATGCATGAGGCACAGTTTGCCATTTCAGGTGTACAGTGCCATCTTCAGCTGAGATGGTCACCTCGAAACTAATATCATGCAGTTTGAAATATTTACAATTAACTACAAATTAGAAATGAAAACTGGCCGATATTTTCATCCATCCTGCACCACTATCAAGTCGAGAGTGAGAACGCAAAGAACAGAAAATGTTAAGACAGGTCAGGGCAACAGGAGGTGATGCGACAGACTAGAGAAGATGAAATCACATAAAGTCTGAAGAATAAAACATCTGAATATGTACTGATAGAGGCAAGTATCTGCAGTAGTAAGTTAGGACTAAGATTCAAGTTATGGATGTTGTGTATAAGGACCGATTCAGCAAGACGCCGTCTGTGATCGTTAGAAGAACAGATCATTTTACAATCCTTGTTTGAGGTGCTACGCGAGGCTCTACGAGGCGAATTATTTGTCTGATAAACTTGCCGTTATTGCAGTCTCTGTACATGTTCTAAACAATGTATAAACTGAGATATAAGATATTCAGATGCAAGATACTCCAAGATGCTCAACCTGTTATGTGAGTATTACTCTTCAAGGGAAAGAAGACCAGTTTATGCTGGTGAAGAGCTCTCGATCCAAGAAACTGGACCTACCATCTCCTTCCTTGGATCATACCTAATTATCTCCTATTCCTCAGGCACTGTATGGCCGTCGAGGATTTAATTAAAGCTGAAGGTCTCATACATACTAACTTTAATGGGTCATGTTTCAAGAGTGTAACAACGTGGACTACAAACAATGTGTTGTTGACACTACTTCCAGAGATCAACAGAGTTGTCGCTTTTTTTCATTTACAGTCTTCAGCAATCTGTAGAGTGAAGTAGTGAAGGCAGGATCCATACATAGCTTTAAGAAGAGGTATGATAAGGCTCTTGGAACCGGGGGAGAGTGGACCTAGTAGCGACCAACGAAGAGGCAAGCGTGCTGGAGTGGAGAGCATGGCAAAGGAACTGACGTGGGAAAGTAAGGAGGCGAGGATGAAGACGAGAGCGTCGGGAAGGGACAAGCATGGAAAGGAGAGGGTGTGGGGAAGGGGCAAGCTTGGGTGTGAGAAGCGGCGAATGTAAGGAAGGAGCGAACATGGTCAGGAGCAAGAGTGGGGAAGAGGCGAGCTAGGAATGGGTGGCGCGGGACAGAGTAGACGTGGGAAGGAGTAAGCGCGGGAAATAATGTTAATTACCATGACCAACACTGTTGAAATTTAAAGTTTATCAGAAACCAAACAATCAAAACTATCTAATTCACTGGTGGTCACCCCAGGGGCTGCACCACCAACTTCGAACTATAAGATGTGTTTGTCTAGTCTCCCTCCTCAGGGTGTCGTGCCGAATAGGTAAAACTAGTCAATTAGCAAGAACTCTTTTAAAATTAAGTCCTTTCTAAAATTTTCTCTTATACTTTTAAAGATATACATTTTTCATTTATGTTCATGTAAAAATTAATAATTTTGTACCAAAAGTACCTTAGAAAACTTACCTAACCTTATTATAACAAGCGCAATTTAATTTAGCCTAATCCAACTAGATATATTTTATATAAGTTTACAATAATTTAATAATAAACAAACACTAGCTAGCTTCAGAATGATTTTTGCGAAATTATTGCATACACAAATTTTCGCTTGCCTTATTCGGCAAGAAGAGCGTTGTTATTTAAGTCAAAAATAGCAAGTTTTACCTATTCAGCACCACACACACACACACACATACACACACACACACACACACACACACACACACACACACACACACACACACACACACACACACACACACACACACACACACACACACATTTTCTTGGACTGCAAGAAGGCGTTTGACACAGTTCCACACAAGAGATTGGTGCAAAAACTGGAGGACCAAGCAGGGATAACAGGGAAGGCACTACAATGGATCAGGGAATACTTGTCAGGAAGACAGCAGCGAGTCATGGTACGTGGCGAGGTGTCAGAGTGGGCACCTGTGACCAGCGGGGTCCCGCAGGGGTCAGTCCTAGGACCAGTGCTGTTTCTGGTATTTGTGAACGACATGACGGAAGGAATAGACTCTGAGGTGTCCCTGTTTGCAGATGACGTGAAGTTGATGAGAAGAATTCACTCGATCGAAGACCAGGCAGAACTACAAAGGGATCTGGACAGGCTGCAGACCTGGTCCAGCAATTGGCTCCTGGAGTTCAATCCCACCAAGTGCAAAGTCATAAAGATTGGGGAAGGGCAAAGAAGGCCGCAGACGGAGTACAGTCTAGGGGGTCAGAGACTACAAACCTCACTCAAGGAAAAAGATCTTGGGGTGAGTATAACACCAGGCACATCTCCTGAAGCGCACATAAACCCAAATAACTGCTGCAGCATATGGGCGCCTAGCAAACCTCAGAACAGCATTCCGACATCTTAATAAGGAATCATTCAGGACCCTGTACACCGTGTACGTTAGGCCCATATTGGAGTATGCGGCACCAGTTTGGAACCCAACCTAGCCAAGCACGTGAAGAAACTAGAGAAAGTGCAAAGGTTTGCAACAAGACTAGTCCCAGAGCTAAGAGGTATGTCCTACGAGAAGAGGTTAAGGGAAATCAACTGACGACACTGGAGGACAGGAGAGATAGGGGGGACATGATAACGACATACAAAATACTGAGAGGAATTGACAAGGTGGACAAAAACAGGATGTTCCAGAGATTGGACACAGTAACAAGGGGACACAGTTGGAAGCTGAAGACACAGATGAATCACAGGGATGTTGGGAA